TAGCTGACCATGCGACTGCCTGCCCTCCTGCCCCGCCGCAGTCGTGTCTGACATGGCCAACGGCGGCCAGGTGCTGGTGGACGCTGAGACCTTTGAGCAGATCAGGGACGAGCGCAGCCTGGCGGCGGTGGACTACCACGGATACAACGACAGGCTGCTGGCGGAGAAGGCGGGCCCAGGGCCCTGGTGCGCGTGCGGCAGCTGCAGGTGCGCGGCGGGGGTGCAAGACAAGAAAGGCAGGCGGGCAGGCGAAAGCAGGGGGCGTGCAGCCGATCCATTGCAGCAAACGTGTGTGAGCCACGACCGGCCCCGAAGTTGACGAGCGAAATGTTGCGGTGTTTCGGACATGCACTTTGCGCCGGAGTTTGGGCTCGCTAACCCTCGGCTTGCTGACGGTCCGACTTTTTTCCATCTACTCCTGACCGACACAGTCCCTCCAAGTGGCTGCGTCCCGGCTGCACCCGCGCGGACGCGGACGCCGCCGCAACCGCCGCCCCTGCCTTGGAGGCGTCAAAGCTTGTGATCTTGGACATGGGGGAGTACGAGGTTCCGGGCATCAACCTCGAGGCGGTGGTGTCGGGCCAAGCGCCCGGGCAGCAGCACAGCCCCGCCGACGGCGGTAAGCGCGCCGGCCAGCAGCCGCAAGACCAGGAGCAGCAGGAGCGACGGCGGCAGCGGCAGCAGCGGCGCCGCAAGTCGGGGCGCCTGCGTGTCTACAGCGTGGCGCCGAGCTGCCTGGCCGACAGGGCCAGGGAGTGGGGCAACTCTCTGGCCTTCAAGGAGGGCTGGCGCCAGACTGACCGCGGCTTCTTCGAGGCGCCCGGCGCCGTCGGCGCCGCGACCCTCACGCCGCGCGACGCGGCCGTGGCGCCCGAGCTGATGCCGCACGTGACGGTCGTGTGTGCTGGTGTCGAGGGCGCCAAGTGGCTGGTGCGGTGGCGGCACGCGGGCGAGGTGCGGGAGATGGCGCGGCTGCTGCGCATGGTGTACGTGGCAGCGCTGCGCGCTGTGCCAGGCGGCTACCTGTGCCGCGAGCAGGAGGGCGGCCTGCGCTACATGCTGGCGTTCCGCGACGCAGAGGGCGCGCTGCAGTGGTGCCTGCTGGTGCAGGAGGCGCTCATGTACGCGCCCTGGCCGGCGGCGCTGCTGGCGCTGCTCGAGTTTGGCGAGCAGCACACACGCGACGGCGGCACGCTGCTCTTCCGCGGGCCGCGCGTGAAGATGGGCGTGTGCGAGGGCCGGCCGCGCAGCCTCGTGGCGAACGAGGAGGGGCGCGCCGACTACTTTGGCGCGAGCGTCAACCAGGCGGCGCGCTACATGGACGCGGCGGCGCGCGGCGGCCAGGTGGCGTGCGACCTGCAGCTTGTTGAGGCCGCGTTCAGGTAGGCACAGACCTGGTTGGCTTCTGGGTTCGACTGGCCAAGAAGGCAGATCCTTCAGGCCTGTATTTGTGATGCAGTTGCTGTTGCTGCTGCAGGCATACCCACTGCGCTACCCTCTTGCAGCCGCGGCCTTGGTTCTGTTCGGGAACTCCGCCTTGCACGAGCGCACGCCGTCCCCCTCAACCCCCTCGACTCTCTCAGGGACTGGCGGCTGCGCGACGAGGGCGCGGCGGCCGCAGAGGCGGCGGAGGCCGCGGCCCCTGCGGCCGCGGCGCCGTGGGAGCCGCCCTCCAGGCAGCCCGCCTCGGCCAACGGCCCCGCAGGGCCGGAGCCCGCCTCGTCGCAGCAGTCGCAGCAGCAGGAGCAGCAACAGGAGCAGCAGCAGGGGCAGCGGCAGGCGCAGCAGCCGTCACAGCAGCCCGGGCAGGGGGAGGCGGCGCAGAGCGCGCCCGCGCAGGGCCCGCGCGTGACAGGTTTGCCGGGCCGCGAGCCCTACCAGCTGCTGCAGAGCGGCCGGGCGCGGCCCTCGCATCGATACGAGGAAGACGACGCCGTCATACCCGGGCCGTCGCGCACGCTGTCTGGCACCGCGCTGATACGCCAACCGCGCCAGCCGCGCGTCGGGGCCGCGGGGGCGTTCGCGTCGCCGTTCGCGCGCGCGCTCGGCTTCCCGCAGCCGGCGCGTGCGGCGGGGGGCGCGTCGGGGCCGCAGCCCGGGGAGGGGCCCGCGCCGGCGCCGCTGGCGGGCCGGCCGCGGGCGGTGGCGCCGACGACGCTGGAGGATGCGATTGGTGAGCGACGCGCTTCATTAATCGATGCCTAGGTGCCGCATGAGGTCTATGTATACGCATAGGGGAGAACTGCGGCGTTCGAAGGCTGCATGGCCGCGCAGGATGACATCAGCTCTCGACACCGCCATTTGTGTGCATGACACTGATGCAGGCGTCGCGCATGTCTCAACATTACAACACCGCACCTTTCCCCCCGCGCCGCCGCCCCGCAGCCGCCCTCCCGCGCCACAGCGTGGCCGTGCGCGCGCTGCACCTTGGGTCCTACGCGTTCAAGGGCGCCACCGCAGTCGACCTCGTCACCGTCACCGCCGCCTCCCTCGCCGCGCGCGAGGCGCTGGTCGCGCGCGACGAGCCCAGGGCGCCCAAGGGCCGCAGGCTCGCGGAGCGCTCCGGTGTGGCGGACGGCGCGGTGGCGCCGCTGCCAGACATCCTGCCCGGCCTGAGGGACAGGTTCCTTGACGCCGCCGCCGCCGAGGGCGACGCGGCCGCCGGCGGCGGCGGCGAAGGCGTCGCCGCGAGCGACGGCTCGGCGGCGCGCCTGCAGGCCAAGCTGCAGCGGTCGTCGAGCACCGCCGCCGCCGCCGCCGTCGCCGCCGCGCTCGCGGCGGGCCCGGCCGGGTACGCGTTGTGGCTGTCGCAGGAGCTCGCGCGGCGGCGGCTTTTTGAGGGCGAGGGCGCGGCGGCAGCGCCGCCGCTGGCCCGGTCGCTTACCACCACCAGCAGCTTCAGGCGCTTCGTGGGCGCCGTGCTTTAGCCAGTGGGGCAAGGGGCCGCCCGGCGAGGCGCTTTGGATTGCCTTGTGGCGATGGAGCAGCACATTGAATTGGCCTCGCAGCAGCCTACTGTTGGTGCTGCCTGGCGGGCCGCCCAGTCACCCAGAAATCATGACACTTACTTGCGCCGGCGACCGTTTTCTGCTGACCCCTGCCTTTGCGCTCGGCTCCGATCTGCCTTGCGTTGCTAATGCGTTGTGAGTCGCACCCCACTGGTTGCAGCCGTGTTGCTGCCGCCAACCGTCCCACCCCTTCGCCAGACCAATTGCATCACGCATGTCGTCCCTCACCTTCGCATTCCTCATCCAATCCTATCGTGCTATGTTGCCCGCGTCGGTCAGACTGCACGCACCTAAATGCGTGCAGTTGCAGGCGACAGTTCAGCGCTGGCAGGGGGGGCCTGCCGGCTGCGTTTGCTGCCGTCGAATGCGGAGGCGCCGCACTGGGTGCTGTCCCCACTTGAGGCACAGCGGCGCGTCCCCTTGCTTAGACGGGCGCTGCCCTCCCTGCCTGCCGCATGGCTGCTGGCCTTCGCCACCACCTTCCTCTCGCCGCCCCCGTTTTGGGCCTGCGACCGAGCTCCCTTGATTGACGGCGTCCGCCCGCGTGTCCCATACCGCGCGGCAGCATCTGATATTGCGGGGCCCTGCAGGGGCTCCGAGCTGCGCCCTTCGTGCCGCGGCCCGCGCTGGGCGGCGTCCCCGGCGCTGCGCCAGCTCGCGCGCGCGCCTGCTGCGGCACAGCTGGTGCGTGTTGCCTAATGTCGGCTTTTTTTCCAGGGCCCGTTCCTGCCCGCTTGGCCCTGGAACCCGGTGTTAGTTGACCTCCACTGGCGCTTCTCTATCGACCTCCCTCTTGTGCTTGTGCAAGAACAAAACAACACTGGCTGCTGCCCTCCTGTGTGCCGTTGCGTGTAAGGTAGCTTGCTGGGGTTGTGACCGCATGGGGGCTGCATGATGGTGAGTCGTCGCGAAGCGCACAGGTGGGTATCGAGGCTTCTGATGTCAACACCGCCGATAGGCGGGGGGTGAGGCGCACCAGACTCGATGGCAGCGCGCACGGATGGTTCCGAGTAGGGCCCCATGCGACCATCATCTGGGGCGGCAACAGCTGTGTCTCTGTGGTGTGGCAAGTGGTCGCCGCCAAAGCGTCACCAGAGTGCCGGCGGGTGCCGCCAACCGCGATCGCCGTACACTAGTCATGCCACGGACGGCAGATGCACGCAGTGGGAATTCATCGTACTATGTGTCTGGATATCTGTTGGTGCAGTACCGCACAGCTGTGATCATGGTCTCGACGAGTTTGACAAGCTAGACGCTGGAAGTGATCGTGATCGGTGATTAGAGCTGTTTTGATTCAGGAACATGCTGCAGACTGCAGGCGGGCGGCGTATGTGGCAGCCTATGCAGGCTGCAGGACCGCCAATCGCTTGGAGAAGGGTGTACCGGGAGCGTTCTGCGTCATGCATACATACGGTGAGGTTTTCGAGCGGCTACTTGGTCGATCTGCATGCGCGGCGTGCATGCCTACGAATCGCGACGAGCGCTGCTGTGCTGCTGGGCGCCGTTTGCGCTGTGCTAGCAAACAATCGGGCCGGTTCACTGCAGAGGGCGCATTGCCTCCTGCTCCAGCAGCCTTTCATCTGAAGGTCTCACCTATGCAGCCGTGCATAAACTGGGCTCGTTTGGTGCCATGAAGCATGGCGAGCTGCGCCACTGCGTCCAGCGGGGTGGCTACCCACGTCGCCCTGCTGCGCCCGTCTCACGGGCCAAGCGACCGAAACGTTTTTGCACTTTTGGGCCCCAGAAACAACTGCGGTGCACGCATGCAGGTGGCAGCGCGGCTGACGCCAGCTGCCATTGGCGCGAGGGACCAAGGCTGCGGCCTGGGCTGCGCGCGCCGGCCGCACGTCGCATGCCGCACCGCCGGCGGCGGCAGCAACTCCCCGCCGACGTCACCTGTCATGTCACCCCTGGGTTCCCTGGACGGTGCAGCCGTCGTGGCGCCCACGCCCGCACCCAGCGGCAGCGGCAGCGGCGCCGGCGGCGGCGCCGCGGCCGTGCCGGAGGTGGCGCTGCCGCGGCACTGGCAGGAACAGCTGGAGAAGGCGCCCCTGGGGAGGAGGCGCGTGATGCAGAGGTGCGCTTGTGCGCCCCTGCGCGTGGGCAAACGGGCATGCGTGTCGAGCATAAGCTGAGCGTGCGGGAGCGCCCATCTGTGCATGGCGCAAGCAGCTGCTCGTTTTGCAGGGGTTATGAGCCTAGGCCACTTGAAATAGCGGAGGTCAGGAGTGCTCTCCGGTGTCCTCAGGCACGCCCAGCAGCCGCTCGCATCGCCAACACCAGCCGCTCGGCGCTGGCCCCCCCGCGCTGCGCAGCCGCGTGCACCCTGTCACCTGGTGCCCCCGCCTCGCCGCCCGTGGCCTTTGTCCCCCTCAATGCCTGCACCGTTGTTGTCACGTGGATGAAGCATCGATCCCATACTCCAGAGCAACTACCTGCACATACGCATGCATGTGCACGCATAAAGGCGAATACACAGACAACGCACGCACGTACACACACAACACACACATGTGCACACACGCACACGCACACGCACACACCGTCACCCTTGCAACACACCGCACCCACCCCCCCACCCCCCAAGGTATGTGCGCCAGGTGGCGCGCATCAACGCGCTGGAGCCGGCCATGAGGGCGCTGTCAGACGACGAGCTCGCCGCCACCACCGGGCGGCTGCGGGCGCGCCTGGCAGATGGTGCGCCGCCACCGGCCGGCCCGCCAACCAGGGCAGCGCGCTTGCGCTGGGCGGGGTTTTACTTCGCCAGGGCAGGGCAGGGCGGGACAGGGTGATTCAGAAGGGGTGCTACGCTCACGGCGATGGCAATTAGTGTTGGCGGACGGCGTCCTCGCCGGCGCGTGGACGTGGTATGGGTCGCGAGCTTTGCCAGCAACCGGCTGGTTTGGGCCGTTGGTTTTGCGTTACCCTGCTTCTGCGTGCCGGCCGTCCAGGCTCGAAGTTAGCGCCCGCCGCCTCGGCGCCCAGCAAACCCCTTCCGACGCTCCCTGCAAAACCAGGCGCAACCCTGGATGATCTCCTGCCAGAGGCGTTCGCGGCGGTGCGGGAGGCGTCGAGGCGCGTGCTCGGCATGCGCCACTTCGACAGCCAGCTGGTGCGGCCAGGGAGGGGCGGGTGATGGGGGGCGGCATTCGGGGGTGGCTGCTGCTAGCAAACTCGCGGGGAGAATGCGGGGTAGCCGCGGATGGGGTCCTCCAAAGGGGTTTGATGAAACATTAAGGCGGGGCGGGGCCCTGGGGTCTTGGCAGGGTGCTGGTTCATCGAGTTCGGATGTGTCATCTGTGACATTGACAAAGTATGTTGTGGAAGAATTCATGATTCACGACACGAGCACGCATCCACACACGAACACACACACACACACACACACACACACACACACACACACACACACACGCACGTACACACACGGGCACACGCACGAGCCGTGCCACGGTAGTGTCCATATACACACACCACGCAGCCCATCAACAACCTCGCTCACGCCCCTACCCGAAACCCCTTTTAAATCCCGCCTCAGGTGGGGGGCATGGTGCTGCACGAGGGCCAGGTGGCGGAGATGGGCACCGGCGAGGGCAAGACGCTGGTGGCGGTGCTGGCGGCTTACCTGAACGCACTGCCTGAGAGGTTGGCTCTCGTGAATTTGACAGCGGGGTTGGGTGCATAGCCCGACCTGTCGGGTGCATAGCAGCGGATCCGACCTTTTCAGGGCGGTTGGGCAAGCCCTTTGAAGGCCCCCTGACGCGGGCAAGTGTTTGGATTCGTGGAGACCCATGCGGCGGCGCGCGCGCCGCGGCCGACGGGCATCTGAGTGGGGGCCACCGAGCGGCAAATCGGCGCACCGCCGCTGGTGATGCTTGGGCAACCAAACGACGACGACCCCTCACTTTTCTCTTCGCGGTGCAACATGCCGGGCGTCATCGTGTGCCGGGGACGCAGGGGCGACCCCACCCGCAGCGGCGGCGTGCACGTCGTGACCGTCAACGATTACCTGGCCGCTCGTGACGCGGAGTGGATGGGGCGCGCTTACAGGTGATGCACCACTCACACACCGTACAGAGCCGCTGTTTGCAACAGCGCTTTGTTTGTTAAATTTTACATGCCACATCCATGTATGATTGATGTGACACGTACCAAACCAGAATTGTGCCTGACCAAGTCACATCGTTCAACGGCCCCTGACAGTCCCCTTGCCTGTCTCCGTGCCGGGCCGCCGCCGTCGCCGCGCCGCCCCTCGCCCCAGCCGCGTGGCAGCCCCAGCCCCTGCTTTGTAGGCTGTGCGTGGTTCGCAAACTCGTTTCCAACCCAGCCTTTCGCCAGTCAGTCGCCGCGCGACTCCGCAACATCGTATTCGCCGCAGGTTCCTGGGCCTGACTGTGGGGGCCGTGCAGAGCGAGATGGGAGTGGCCGCCGCGCGCGCGGCCTACAGCTGTGACGTCACTTACGTCACCGGGCAGCAGCTGTGCTTCAACTATTTGAACGACCACACAGCGAGGTCCACCGGCGAGCTGGTGGGTTGCGCCTGCGACGCGGCGTGTGCATGCGTGTGGCCATGGGGTTGAGTGACCGAGTGACTGAGCGACCGTATGATCCATTGGTGAGGGGAGGGGATGGCTGAGCGGCGCGCGCCTGCGGCGGCAGGACGGCTGACGCTCGCGGAAGGGGTGGGGGCGGGGCGTGTGCCGCGGGCGTCGCCGTTGCTGGCGGCCGCTCGCGGCGCTGCGAGGGTGCGCCGAGTGCGGCCGCGGCAGGCAGCTCGCCAAGCCCTGCAGCAGCTGGGCCTGGGAGCCGTCGATTCTGACGAAGCTGCGGCGCTGCCCGCTTTCTCTCCCTTTTCCCGCCGTCTCAGATGCTCCCCGAGTCCCTGAACTTTGCCATCGTGGACGAGGCTGACTCCATCCTGATCGATGAGAGCCGCAACCCCATGATCCTTAGTCAGCCGCTGTACGACACGGCGTCGTATGTGGTCGTCATTGAC